GGCGAAACACATCGAGTCGCTTAATTAAAAATCGATTTTTTTACAAGACTTTTTTCGTTCGACGATAGTGAGAAGCTCGATACTACACTAAACAGGATTCCATTGATCAGGTTTGGTATGCCGTGTCTGCCGGATCACTGTGAAGTGATTCACTGTGCTCAAGAAGTCTACGGCCCGTGGCTCCGGGCTATGGGCCAAAATTGACCTTCAGAATACAACATCACCAGTTCTTGAAACAAAGAACCACTGCGCCGAGCACCATCGGATGTTGAAGAAATCTCACTTTCGTCGCCGGCCGAGATTCCACTTGATTATGATTCGGATTATAATCCGATACTTTAGGCCTTTTAAATTAGAATCCGCTTCATAATCCACCCCTATCAACATCATAAAGTTTATAATAACACGATATAGGGGGTTTTATCTCCTCGAGAAAGGGTTTAAATGTACTACAATTTCTAAAAACGACTAGTTTCGTCTTCAATAAACCATCAGCTATAAAAATTTTTAGTAATAAAGTATAGGTGCTTGTAATGGTCGAATATTCTCTCGAATTTCAATATCTGCGACGAAAATCTATGAACCTTTTCATTTTGCTTCGGAAAATATGGAACTGGTTTTATTGCCGAACGGCTAATAAACAAATAGACGAAGCTTTCAAGCGAAATTGAAAGCGAGCTTGGCCTCTGTCGGGTTTCTTTTGATCTCCGAAATGCATTTATGATTATTGGGCCAGTTAAAGAGCTGCAATTACTCCTCTACGGGCTTATCTTGCAAAAAGTCCGCATTGAATGTGTTCCGATTTTATTGAGCGGGGAATAAAAATCTGGTCGAAAAATCCGAACACAAAAATATAAATTTCCGTAAAAATAAAATTCCTCGAACGGGTTTTGACGTACATGCAAGAGTATAATATAATAACGCCGCGATTAAATGCAAATACCTGCGCAAATAAAACAATACATCAATTATGTATATGTATTTATAGAGACGAAACTGAGGAATTTCGTGCGGTTTCGCATTCGCACATTAATCAAAATTAGTAATTGTTCCCCGTGCGAAAATATTTCGCGCCGGGGCCCGGGCGTTCGGTCCGGTTTTAAGAACACCGTCTTTTGATGTTGATTATGAATGAAATGAGCGCCATATAATTTAATTTTGCGGCTTTTCTGCGAAATTTTGTACCACTGACCGCTTTAACCTTCTGCCGCCCGCTATGTCCGGTCTCGTCAGGGACGGCGGCCGAACGGGGAGCAACGGACTCCTGCGGAAATTCGCTCGAATGTTTGTTGATCGGTAGGCGGATCCCCAAAAATATATACATGTAAACAATTTTATTACACCGATAATAAACTCATATAACCGCATCGAGTGTACAGTTTTCACAAAATCAATTGATTGTTGCATCTACTCTACTCTCTTCTGCTCTAATCTACGATAAATTACTAATTTTCTTTCGCATTGTACGCTGTACGGGAATAAGTCGGACTTTAAGATGCCTTCGATGATATTAAACAATAACTGTCAAAATTGACATTAATGATATTTAGTGTGGCAGTAGTTTAATAGAGGTGGGAGTAATTTTTTTCGGTATAGAGGTGCAGTAACGACTGTTACATAATAAGCGTTATTCTATCAAATATCGTTCCTCTGAATACTTCTATACTACTCTAGATCGATAAATATTTTTTACACATATCATTAACGCAATCAATACAGTAATATTTATATAACTTTGGATGTTTTGATTGAGACGAACTTTTTACACTACGTTCATTTGAGTTTTGATTGACTTTTAACCCCCTTGGGCCACCCAATAGTTATCGCGTATGAATTAAGTAAATAGTCTCATTATAAAGACTTGAAGGTTTGACACGGGTGCGCTTCAAAGGGCAAAACAAAACACTTGCAGATATCCCAACGGGGTATATCGGGATGCTTATGCGACCTGTTGCTTCGCGGGAAAAAAATAAACGTATTTATTTTTGTCGGGATGAGGTTGGAAAATTATCAGCATCGGTGTGTGTGTGTGTGTGTGTGCTACTGTAGAAAGATGGGGCTTCGACCCTTTTTTTACCGTTCGTTTGCTGGGCGATACGAGGGATAGAAATAATTGCTCATATACTTAGTGCTTCATTAAAAAAGTTGAAAATTGCCGGAATTCGTGCGGAAGTGATTAATTTGTAAGATTATTATCATGAAATCGAGGCGCTTGTATATTATGTACTGCAGAAGGCTTTTTATGTTAAAATAGCGTAATAACATGTGTTATTGTCTATACAAATATAGAAGATTATCATTTTTTAATTAAATTTAGACCTTTAACAGAGAAGATAAATAATTAAACCAATAAAATCAGGTGCTGGATTTATACATTTAATTTGAGAAAAAATCTTGCTCGATGACTACATTTTTCTCATATTTTTTCAACCCCCCTTGTTCCTTTTTTTGTTCCATTCTTTTCCAATTATCAATTTATTAGTTTCATTCACGTTGTAGGCGTCAGTTCCGAGCGAAAAACAGCACCATTTTCGAGCTCTTACAATGCATAAATAATGCGAATAAATTTTATATCGTCTATAAAATTCAGTTTGCTCAGTTATAAAGCTCACCGAATTTTTCAGTGTGTTCCATTAATAGAATCTCGCAAGACCCGATTTGTATTTTTGGATCCACCACAACCCAATGCCGGGTTTTGTCTATTGTATTACCGATTTTTCGTTAGAGGTAAGAAAACCGAAGCGTAAAATTAGTATATGCTCTCGAAAGCCCGAATGTGCTTGCAGAACTTTCGTAGGGCCGGTTTTTTTCTCCGGCTAATTTGGGTTTATTACCGGATCATACGAATCTACCCACTTCAATAGCTAGGTAGAATATACCCCACTTTCTATAATATCCCCAAATTTATTTTTTTTATTCAATTTTACCAAGTTCAACTACTTTATCTATTCCAATCGATCTGTACATTTGTAAATATTTCTTGTAAACATTTTTTGTAGCAAATTTGCAAGCTCTATTTATTTACAAAATTATTGACGAAGAATAAACCTAAAACAACATCTCCAGTGCGGGCATATTTATTTTATTTCTTCTTACGTGCCTCGTATTTCGTTTCCCTTATTTTTCGGTACTCGATGGAGCCGAAATCTTTTAGAATGGCTAGTACCAACTACCCTCGTGGCCTTGAAGCAATATGTTGTTCTTCGGGGTTGCAACGAGCGAAGAATACCGAATGACAGAGATGGATGGCTTCACATAATTGATCCGAGGAAGATAATAGGTAATTTTAGCATTTTCTCGGTACCGGCTTGCTATAAAGATTAGAAACTAGAAAGCTGTGCTCGTCGGAAAGTTGGGAGTTTCTGAAGGAATGAAAGATTTATTAAAATTATGCATGGTCTTTTGTTGGCGCCTTTCTATGGGTGTTCGAAGTATGATTTTGATTGTGAAAATTATTTTTTTCACGCAGTTTGGTTCGACTTTTGCTGGTACTTCTTTTGAAAATGGTATTATGTACCCACACAGTAGGGTTGTTTTATTAATTAAAATTACGTTTCCTACCCAACGATTTAATTAAGGTGTTTTTACATTTATACTATTTTTTTGTAGAAATAGTAAAATTCTATAGAAACTTTCTTGTAGTATGTATTAATTATTGTATTTTGATTTTGATTTCAATTTTGTTTAGGTGCTACAATAAGTGAAATCTAAATACAAAATCGAGTAACTAATTTTTGTTAACTTTTTTATTTACTTCCTAAATAATTATAAATGCTTTTGTAATTATTCTAATTTTTTATTTTAATTTATTTTTGCTTTATTATTTGAATAACAATTAATGAGTATTTTTTGAAAATTAAAAATACAGTAATGTTAATAAAAAAATCAAAATTAAAATGAGTAAAAGCACGCACAAAAAAAATAATATAAAAACGTAAACGCCACCCGCTTGGGGCTGCAGTTGCCTTTTGTTATAGATCTTAAAAATTTTTATTGCCGTTCCTACATTTTCGAGACAGGTAGTAGAGTTTGTAAATCTAATTCCAAAAGCTGGTTTTGTGCAGTTGCTACAACCGAAAGATGGACGTCATTCTTTCTCTTTTCCACCTCTGCAACCACCTTACAATGGATCTTCGATGTTGTCTAATTTCGACAGGGAAGCGTATTCGAAAATTTATTTAGGCCCACGCCGAACTGGCCCTCGCCATTAAATCCGATTTAAAAATATAGTACACGGCTAAGTACCTACTGTAACACGAACTTGCAAATATTCATTTATTTTTATATTATACAACATCATAATTACTTGATAAAATTTCTACTTGAGCAAATTATTTGGTAGAAAAAATATGTTCCTTACGTAGGTACATATATAAATTTAGAATAAAATACAATAATTGTTCATTTAAATAATTAATAATTTATTTAATTGAAAACACATGTAGAATATACAATTAACAAACTTGCTTATTATAATTACTTATTGTTAGTAGGTAATAAACACGATTTATGAATTAAATAACAATATTTTTTATCAAGAATTTAGAAGTTAAGGCAGCGAGTAAAATTTCATCTGATAAGGCAGGTAAACAATTTTGATAACCCATTTTTATTCAATAACCTATAGGTTCTTGTATACTACAGAGCTAAATGATGATAATATTAATTTTATAATACTCATAAGGCATTATATAAACTTTATACCTTCTTGTTCTTTTACCATCAAGACAATTAATTTCAATAATGAAATTAGGTCATCAGGTATGACCTGAATAATACTCATAGCTATGTCCAAAAGCCATTAAATTATTATTGAAATAAGGAGTGGTTAAATTGGCATTTATAAGGCTTAGCTCCCTTCCTATTAGAAAACCCTCTAAGTTGCTCCTTGAGAGGATAATATTAAAATTGCATTACATAGTACAATCTTCTAATAAAGTACATAAGAAGAAGAAAACTCGGACTAAGCTGGATACGAGAAACAATTATTCAAATCCAATCTACTTACCACCTTCTGATACCGTTGAAGAAATATCCACCCTAATGACTTGCTCCGTGCCGGGACTAGGCGGCTTGGATATCGACAGATTTATGCACTTTTTCAATTTAAGCTTGACCCTCTTCTTGCAGGATTTACCGCATTTCTTCCCGTCTCCTTCCCGCGGAGCATCGTCGTCGCTATCCCGCAATCGCTGCGATTTCCGCCAGAGCTCCTCGATGTCCAGGTTCACCTCGGAGACGTCGTCCTCCACCAGGTCGTCCAGCGTGTCCAGAATCTTGCTGACGTCGTAGGCGTTCTCGTCCAGCACCTCGAAGTTGCTGGGCTTGATTTTTCTATTGCCCGATTTCAGCCGGGGCTTCTTCTGGGCCCAGCGGTCCAGCGAGCAGCCCGTGTTGTAGCAGGTGAGGTTCTCAGGTAGTTGTATCGTGCTCACCGAGATTTTGGGGTGCTCTCTCGGGTATTCTAGAAGCTTTTTCACGAACGATAATGAGTATCTGAAATGATAAATTTAATTGGGGTCGAAAGCAGGCGTTATTATAAATTATTGCATGTGAAAATGTAAATTTTACCCGTGGTTTTTTTCCGTGTTGTATCCAGTAGGTTCATATTGTTTGTAGTTTCTTTTAGTTTTCGATCGAGAATGTTCCAATCTTGTGTTTAGCTTGATCGGGATACAATTTACTGCACCCTAAAAATTATACCTACTTAATACAGTATCTGTTTCAATCGATTCTTTAATAATTAAATTTCAAAGCTGTGTTAGATCAAAGCGATTTTTAGTGCATGAAATCTACAATTTTGCAATGAATACGTTTCAAAAAAGCATGCAATCGTCAATCATACCAACCGAAAAGTCCATGCAGTTCTAGAGGTGTATTCGATCGACGGGAAATATAACGAATTCGCCAGGAATTGCGATTCATGGAAGACTGATGGTGGAGTTCAACTTGCCGCGGTGAATGATTCTACAGGTTCGCTGAAATTTAAAAACGCGTGTGTACTTTTCAGGGGCCTTAAGCGCCTGCTTATTACCGGGCACGCAATCAAGCTAACACTGAGGCAACGATTTGCCAACATGATACGGAATTATTGCACGTTAGTTTTTACAGAGTGATATTTTACAGACGATACAAACACAGAAAAATTCAGTTTTTGAGTTAATTTACGTTATAATACGTTATTTTGATACATCTTAAGTGTCATTGCATAGTAAAGGAACTTTTAAAATATGTTCAAAATACTCTTCTCATAAAAGCTTGTAGAACTTTAAAAGCTCCCGAGTTTAAGCTCCACTCGCTTGCTTCGTGAGCTTGAGTTCTAGTTTTTTGCAATCATAATCCTTTATGTATAGAGAGCTTTTTCAAGTTTTATACAAATATCAGAATCGATTATTTGAAACAATAAAAAACCGAATGCCCTTCATTAAACAAAATCATATTTCACGAATCCCATTACATCGAAATGAAAACGAATTTCCCTTTCATTAATGCAAAATTAGCGAGCTATATCATTCTAAATTTCCTCTTTGTATGCGTCAAATTGGTTCGTTTTTCATCAAGCAGCTCTGTATAAATTAAACAGTGTTGCGTGCTTTCAGTTATAGATCACTCTAACATCAGTTATAACCTGTTTTTCTGGATGAAACCTTTGCATGCCGAACTAACTCGAGCGAAATACGATCATAATTAAATAAAATGCAATGATAACTTTTATCAAACTTCCTCGTTTCGCTGCGAAATAATTATTGCGGACACGAGGCGTTTTCGGATTAGATTTCCAGGCGAATTGTAACTTAATTTACTTTTTTGACAGAATTTTGAATTTTGAAGCCTTCCAAATTTTTCCAGAAGTCGAACCAAAGCTCTAGAATGGAAATATTGCAATAGATAATTGATGTTTGATTGGTGAATGAATGAGTTAGGTCAAGGTTGCACTTAAACCTAAAATTTTCCAAGTGGTCCGACCCAGTTTGGAAGGGTTTAGGACCGATTGGGTGATCAGGAAGTGAATGAAATGGTTCAGTTGAATCGGAAGCCAGGCGAATTCGGGAAATTGGCCACCATGTTTAATGCGATTCTTCGATTCCGAATTTGAATAACGCACAAAAAGAGCAAAATAATCCTGCAAGTAACGATGTAATGTGCACGCCCTATGTTGATGATAAATCCTAAAAAAACACTCTGCAATATTAGCCTAACTCGAGTTTTTTATCCGTAATATTTTATTCATAAGCTCGTAAAAATGCGTCATTTCAAATAACAACATTTAAATAAATCAAACGGCATACAAACGAATTAAAGAACAAACAGCATTACGCTTTCAGCTTGCGAACGAGCTAAATGTGAGGACGTCAGGTTATAATTTTAAAATAGCTGGAAAATTAGATGCCTATGATATTAATTGTGTGGTTTAGTTTCTATAGTACCAACCGGTGTTAGGGTATTTTCCCTTTGCGGAAATTTACTATGAATTTCCTTTTTATTCAATAATAGATGTTTTAGTTATAAGGCGTCCGAAATTAATGCATAAAAACATTTTTATGTTGATTATTTATTTCCTAAAATGTTGGAAAATTAAAAATTTAATTTTATAATCAAAAGAAATGCCGAGAAGACTTAAATTTAACTGATATTTCAATCAAATTCAAATACAAAAATAGTATTAGATTGGTTTAAAATGTATAACATAACAGAATTGATTATGAAACTAAACATTGCTGCACCTAATACGAGATAATTCGAAATTAGTAGCATAAAATCGATCCAATTTTAATTTATTGTGTTCAATAAACACTAATAAAAAGTAAATCAATTTAAAGAAAATCGATTAAATGCACGAACACACCCAGTAAAATAAGATTTACATATTCCGTACACCGTATAGTGAAGTAGAAAACGAGATATCCTTCTCTCGTAGTAATGTAGTCCGTAGTAGTCCTGGATCTGAGGTATTGATTGAGCTTGGGCGATGTCCATTTTGGCAACCGCCACCGTAGCTCTCGTCCCCCATCTCCCTCCCGCCGACCCCAACATCTCTAAATTATGCGTGAGCTTAGTATATGCGTGGCAGGCGCGTCAATCCAGTCGGGGGACGACGGGAGGAACACTTTCCGCTATGTCTTGGACCAAGCGAAAGCCTGCAGGACTTTGATGTAACACGCCATCTCTTTCGCTTAGCTATCGCCCGTCCCTTTTCTCTGTTCAGAGGTGGAATTCGGTTTGGAGTGATTACTTTAAAATTTTAAATTCAATATACCCTATAGGGGTGATTTTTTTTATGGAAGGGTCAATGCTACTGAATGATTTAATTCCACCTGTCACATAGGTACTAAGATAATCGTTAATTTATTGTTCACTTTGCTCCAATAAATAAATATTTAGCAAAATCTTCCTATGTTGTACGTTTCCTGTAATCCTGTAATCTTTATTTTATTAAATAATATTTAAAAGCTTTTTTGAGCTTTTTAGAACAGTTTTTTTGGCTTTTCATATTTTTTGAAGCTTCCATTTTTGGCATTTTATTGAATTAGCAAGATTTTCTATTTAAAATACGTTTTTGCATAATTTTTAAGATGGTTTTCACCATTTTAGAGATTTATGAAAGCTTAAATCATCATTTTATGTATTTAAATTATTTTTCATGGTTTCAATCTCACCAAATAACTTAAAATTACTTCAGAAAACTCCAGAAAACTTCCGTTTACTCTATATTAGATACTAAACTTACACTCGTACAAAAAAGATCAAGTTGAATATTTTAAGTAGTTTGTGAGACTACAAGGAAAATTACCACATATTGTATTGTGTGAATCCATATTAATATATCACTCTTTTGCTGTATATTTGTACCGGAAAGGCCGCAAAAGCATTGAAAACTTGGGCATTGAAACGAAACAAAATGCAGGAGAGGCGGCCTAGGAGGGCGAATTCATTTGTTCGCCAGGATTTCGGAAAAAATCTTAACAAATCCTCCATCAGCGACGCCTTGCGGGGACACCTATCAATTTTTGGCGTTCGCGCAATTTTTCGAGCGACCCTAAAATGACACGCACTCCCTCAAAATCACCTCTTCTCGGGATGAATATGAATACCTAAGCAAGTGGCCGATGTCCGCTCGGGAGGTTTTAAGAACAGAGAGTGGGTTGAAATCGATAGAAAATGCCCCCCTTCCGCCCGGGCTCCGCACACTTTACAGTTCCCACAGGACTTTCACTCTCCGCTGACGGACTCTCATCAGTTCTCTGGACTTTCTCTTCTACGTTAGTACGTTAGTGCGGGGGAGAAGGTCGAAATTTCCTTTCTGCTGAGTTTCAAAGTTTAAAACGGGCCCCGATCGATCGACGAGTGTGCTCGATCGGGATGCTTGTATATCGGAGACAAATTAATTTAAAACAACTATTTTTATACACACTTTATCCACACACACACAATATTTTATTTACATAAAAAATTATTATTAAAGGATATAGTAATCGAAACAAAAATGAATACTTTAAGGAGTGCTTTTTCTATGAGAAACTAATAAAAAACTGTTGTGCAAACCTAAATATACTTTCGAGTATCGATTACAATGAAATTGAAATTTCTCAATAATTAAACGAATTAAATAAATCATCGGCTAATCAAATTTTCACCGAGTTTACGCCGACGTTTTTGTACGATCTCAATACGGTTCTGTTCGCGGATTTCGAAAGCGAGGCTCGAACGTCAATCTATTTCTACCGTCCAAATTAGCGAATATTAATTATTAAAAAGTATTAGTGAATGAAACAAGAGGTGTCATGAAATCTGGAATGATTTCAGTCTTTTTGAATTTGACATACCCTGGAGGGTATTACGTTTGCTTAATTATTAAATCATTTGCCCGAGATTCTTTAATGGTTTTGTTTCGAAGGGGAATCCCAAATTGCACAATATCGGAATGTTGGTGCTCTAAAAATAATTTTCACTTAGATGATACATTTACTTAACAGAATTAACAAAAAATCTGTAGAGCTAGATCTGCTTTTGCTCTATTAAAGAGCTAATAGAAGATCCTTCTCGAAGAGGCCCTGTCAAATCGGGCGTACTTTTTAGTCACTATCACAAACCTTATAAATATTTAACACCCCATTATGAGAGAGTACATTTAACGCTCAAACAATTTGAGATACACTCCCCTCGTGCGCCAGCAAGACAATTAAAAAATCATATGATTAACTGAGCTTCGTTTTCACTCTTTGCGCATTGCAATTAACCGAACCAAATTGGCTTTATTGACTTTGAGCTTGACGGTCCAGAAAAGCGGTGCCAATCAGGAGAGAGGCCCAGCTTAATTTTTTACAACAAAATCCGAATTTAAATTTAAATACGGAAGTGTGGGGTTTAAGAGAGATTTTTGATAAAAATACGAGCAATATTTGTTTGAAAATCAATGTATTAACTAGGTATACTACTAGAGAATTAACACAAGTGCTTTGAGTACAAAGGATTGTGATAGTTGGTAATGAAAATTCAAATCGTAGGTCGAATGCCCGGGGAGGGAGATCTCCCACATAAGGATATCCTGTACATTCGAAGCGGTCAAAATACAGGGGAGCTTGTAGCCCGGCATCCCTTTAATATTATCTTATCTACGCGCCCTTTAAACTACAAATATTTTTGCAAAGTTTCCGCGCAAACGGGTCGCTGTTGTAGCAATAAATGCGAGTTAATTAACGTTCGCATTGATTAATTTTCGACAGGCGCGGCGTTAAAATACTTTGTCCTGTAATCGGCGATCCAATAAAGAGTTTGATTCGACAATTGGAAAGTTTCCAGTGCTCGGGAAATTTCCTGGAGCAGCTAAAAATTTGGTATTGCGCGCGACCAAAATAGCAGCCCCAGCGCCGAGCCGGTAAATTACGGCCCTACCAAATTGCAGTTCTAAAATATAAACTTTTAACAGCCAATTCGCAAAACTTTCTCTTTCACAGAGAAAGGTAATGCCTCAGCGCGACTTTAATTTCGGGACTTTTATGATGATTCCGAAAGTGAGAACATAGCAATTTCTGAATTAACTATTGCCAAGATTGACGAGCTGTTCGGTCGGAATTAAATCGGGAAACCGTAGGAAAGCGAGCTGGGGGAGCGCGGAGGCACAATGAGAGAGATATTTGCCACCGATGTGGCAGCAGACTGTACCGGGGCTATATTGGTTCCTGGTTTTATGGCCGTGCTTTTAGTGCCGAGCCCACGCGCGTCTTGGAATTCGATTGGGTTAGTATGACTTCTAGAAGAACGGTGTCACGGATTAATGAAATTTAGCACCGATTGCAACGTTTCCACCCTGCAAAAATTACACAATAAACAAAAAAATTGTACCTACCTCCTACTGGTTTATTTATTAACTTTTTTTATTGGGTAGTGCTAGTAAAATAAATAATGTTTCTATTAATTTTGATACTGACTTTGAGAGGAGAAATATGAAAAATGTTGGACCAAAATCGCATAAAACTCCAGAATGCCTATAAAGCAAATTGGGTAGTATATTGGGGAACACACCTATGCTATAAATTTATCAATTAAGAATTTTTTATTGCAAAAATTGCTTATTTGTACCATTTTGAAAGTTTCTTGTGGATTTCTAAACAATCTATACAGTCTGTATCTAAATAAGATCGAAAAAAATTTAGAGGGTGATTGATGTGATGTGATGAAAATTAAGATGGGTACTTAATATAAAATTGTTTGAAAATATTCTCCCCGGAAAAGTTATATCCCTCCGAAAATTGAAAAAATGGTTTTTCTTCTTTATTTTTCCTGTATATTAAGTTATAGACACGAAACTTGGGGAATATTGTTTGTTAATTTTTTTTCAACCTCAAAATATGCTTAGAAGGGGTTGAAATAGTGAACCCCTATGACATTTTTTTTTTACTTTTCTTATAAAAAATATGGCTGAAAAGTCCAATTCATTTACTAACTTTTTTATCTCTACAAGTTTTTTCAAAAGCATTTACGAAAAAAAAAAGTATATAGAAAGCTCATGTTAAAAAGCAAAAATTCGTTTTTTCAAAAAAATTTATATCAAATTCCAACCTTAATTTTCATCACAGATTTACCACCCCTTAAATTATTTCAGTGTTATTTAGATACACCCTGTTTAAATAAAAAACATCCTTTCTCCTCGAAATTTCTCTATCGTTATCTCGAAAAAAGCACAATAAAGATATTTTAATAGGAATATTAATAAAATTGATTCGATTATAAATCAAAAAATTTAAATTCTCAGTATTATCCAATACATCTTGTATATTTATAATGCATAAATTTTCAACCTTAACCTTTCAAATCCATTTAAATGTGGTCACATTTTCCCATTACCTCATAATTTTACCCAATAATATCCATATTATTTCCAAATATTCCTGCGCCCCGGTCGACACAAAAAACAAAAACATTTTTTAGTAAATAATTTATTTCAAAGACAATTTAAAAAATTAAATGGCATTCTGAACGTGTACAAGTCTCGCATATAAACAAGAAAACATTACAAAATAAATTAGCAAATCCTTGCTCTGGATTATCTGCGAGAAGTGCACACAATTTATAAAATCATTAATATATATAAAAAATCGCAGTGGTAATATGTATTATGTAGAAACTTTGAAAATCGCCCATTGTGCTGCGACAATCCCTTGAAATCAAACAACTTATACATGTCCGAAAAAATCGTTATTAAACAACTTATTCTGTAAGTATATTCATGTAACAATATGCTAGTATAAAACGTACAAAAACATGTAATAATGGCATTGCAGAGATCAATAAACATTACGTAAAAATCGTGTATCAGTATATTACAGTTACTTGAATACTTAAAGTTTATTTACAAAAGTATTACATACATACAGAGTATAGCAGAAATTCGTAGAAGAGACTTTATCATAATTTTATAAATCGCCAAAATCAAAATTAATTCTTATAAAAATCAATTGAAAACTTAGAAATAGAACAAATCTAATGATGATGATGATGATGAGTGTGATGATTATGATAACGACTAGTTTTTTACTTAATCAAACCGAGATTAGTAAATGTGTTAATTTATTAATTGAAACGATCATAACATTACTAGAGTAACTACGATGGATCAAAAAAATACATTTATTTAGTAATTTAGATTGATTCCTTTTGCCATTGAAAATTGCGATAAAATCACCTACGACAGAAAAAATAAATTTAAAACATACAAACAACTGTCGTTCGAAACCCTGTAACTTCATTATCATCGTATAAATATTTTTAAACTAATATAGGTAAAAATTGTTATAAAATTTATAAAACACACAAAATTTACTACATCCGTTGAAACTTGTTTAACTATTAATCCATCAGACATTGCGAAGAATCCTTAAGAAAAGTAAGTAGATAGACTTTCGAAAACATTCCATTAACAAAATAAAAATTCTAAATAAAATTTCAAAAAATTCCTACCTCCTGGTTTATTCCAATAGAGGGATTAAACCAATCAACAACTTTTTAAAACATCATTTGTTGTCAATATAATTTCGTTATAGAAATAAAAATATAACATCAAAAATCGCAACAAAATTTCTAAACAAAACCATTCAATTTCCGATTAATATTTCTACACCGGTGTCCGATGGATATTTTATAAGCACCATCAATGTTTGACATTTTTTATTTATAAATAATTTAACTATAATTCTTAATATGTACAACAAGGTTACCTCTCGTTTAAGCATCCTAAGATTAATCTAATTAAGGGAGTTCTTGACGATCAAGAAAATGGCACAATTAATTTAAAAAAAATCACATTCCGACGCAGACTTTTCATTGGCAGTGCTGTTATCCTGCGCGCGAGGGAAAAATAAACTCAAATTTCAACAATTTTTTCCAAATACCAACAAATTAGATCTAGTTTCTGTAATTGGATCGCTTTTGTTCCTTTTCTTTTATAAGGGTAACGAGGAACTGACCTCATTGCAATTTTTGTTCTATTTTTTATACACATTTACCTACAGGGACTTAAAAATACCCTTAAGCCTTGTAAAAGAATCGGTTAAAAGTACCCATCACGAATTATAATGTATAATTATTGGTAAATATTAATTATTTTAGAATGTATACACTAGCATGTCTTCAGAAATGCTATATTTTAAGCCTCATTCTCTCTCTAATTTTATAAATGTATATTCATAGCTTTCGTTTGATTATTTTTAGCGTATTTACAAATTTCTTAGCGCCGTGACGCGTTATAAATTAGTTAAAATTAACCTCTGTTAGAGTTCTTTCGCAATCAAATGTCCAATTTCTGAGCGAGATTTACAACCATTGGACAATGAATAAATTGTTATAATTTCCTATATCAAAATAACTTAATCTTTACTGTATATTCGAGAATTTTGCTATAATAATTCTGACAGAGGCTCACTTTAATTTGCAATAATATAAAATTAAGAATTATAACTTTATATCAAAGCTGTAAGAATTACACCAGAAGCTAATTTCTATTCATATGGCTGGTTTTATACAGTGCGCACCAAAAAACAATCTTAAAAGACAATAAAAAGGCTCATTTGCACCTCAAATAGTACTTTTTAGCCTCCATTTTCCCCCAAAAACTAACGCTACGAACCTTTCGAATCGCACTGTATACAATCCCATACCATAGCACACGTTACAGGACTCCGATATGCCGAAATTTGAGCTCATTTCCCACCCTCGCGCATTAACAAACACGGCATCAGTAAGTCTTCGGCGTGCTCAAATGCGTCGTCTCGCTGCGCTTCGGCGGCGGCGGCGGCGGCGGTCTCTTCGACCTGAACTCCGCCGAAGACCTGTTGTGCACCGGGCTCGTCGCGTAGTCGACCACCGCCTCCTGGTTGTCCCTGTAGATGTTCTCGTAGAGGTTGTTGGGCCCGTAGTGCTCCTGCACCCAGTTCGACACGTTGTGCTCCTTGTAGTCGGGCAGCGGGACCGGGGGATCCCGGAAGCCCAGCACCTCGTGCGGCGTCGTCTCCGGCTCTAGCTTGCACTTTTGCGCCACCTGCGAACCAGTACGTTAATTTCTGTATGTTAGAGGAGTTGTTGCGAGTATGAGTAGTTTACCTGCCATTTTTTCCTCATGACTCTCTGGAGATCCTTCAAGAATTCCACCGGCGGTTCGGCTAGTTTCTTGGGGCTGGTCAGCTTGGTGGTCTCGGCTCTCTTAGGAGGCGGAGGCTTCTTAGGTAACGGCGGTACTTCTTGCGGGGTGAGGTTAAAACTAATCTTTTTACCAGTCTTTTTGGGGCTTATCGGTTCCTGGAAGCTAACTTTGTGCTGGACGCTTTGGCCCGACGAGCTGGAGCTGTTGGTCGAAGCTATGCTATTACACGAAGTCTGCCGGGGCAGGGACGTTTGCCGCAGCGACGATCGCAGGCCAGCGGCGTTGTTGAAGGGGCTGCGGCCGCCGGGCAGCGTGCCCGACTGCCGGTACTGCGGGCTCGCGTAGCCGGGCTGCTCCAGCGGCGAGAAGCGCGCGAAGCTCGGCGGCGCGGCGCCCTGGACGGGCGTGCTGCAGCCGCTGCCGGCGTTCGACGGCGGCGGGCTGCAGACGGGCGTGTTCAGTCTCGAGTGGGTGGGCGTCAGGTCGGGCGACATGCCCTGCGTGGGGGTGCGCTCCGGGCTGAGGACGTTCACCGGCGTGCTGGCGCCGCTGCGCTTCCTGAGCGTGCCCGCCTCCGAGGGCGGCGGCGGCAGCGACATGAGGGACAGCTGGCTGCCGGTGAGGTCGCCGCCGGTCATCGGCGGTAGATCGCCGGGGTTGGGCGGGGGCGGAAGACTGTCCAGCGAGAGGTTCGAATTGTACACTTCCGGAGGCGGCGGTGGCAGGGAGTAGTTCGGTGAATTGTTGAGAATAACGTCACCGTTGGTTTCCGGGGGCGGTGGTAACGATGTAATCGAGTCGGTCTAAAAAAGGAATCGATGTAAAGGAATCAACCACACACGTATTTACTGTAGAAAACTTACCATACACGATGGTAGATTTCCAGTAGGCGAGACTGAACCTCTTAAGTAACCGTTGCTCGAAGGATACTCCACGATCGAGCCGTTTCTGTCGCTGAAGGGCGACGATCGCTCTCTGACGGGGGTGCCGCAGAGCGGCGTGGAACCGCCGCTGCGGCTGCCCATCGATTCGATGGAGCCCCGCGATTTGTAGGAGTGCTGCCGCTTGAGGGTGCCCGTGTTGGAGGAGTCATCGGATTGGTTCGATTTCCGCCGGTTGTGGCTCCTGGTCAGCGTACCGGAACTGGTGTAGTTGATGGGACTGGAGGGCAAGGCGGTGCCGTCGGTCTCGTCGCGGTTCTCGCCGACTTCCTTCAATTGTCGCGTTATGTTCGTCAGAGGAAGGCTGGGTTTCATTGACGGTTTACGTTTTATTGTACCTAAAACGTGTAAATGTTATATTAGTATTGTATGGGTATAGTCGGTGCAAAACAAATATCAATGCACGTCACCTAGCTGTAATTTACTACATCACAAGTAGGCAGTGTTGTCGAACGTTTATAGTTATAAAATCTAAGAATTGTCTAAAATAGTCAAATGGCAAAATGACGAGAACAAATTTAGTGTAAAATTGACCATTACAAGAGTACATAGTAAAATTTCCGAGAAAACTTCTGAATCTGAATTATTTAGAGTTCAAATTGTGTCATTTCTAACAAGTGAAAAAGATAACTACGCAAAAAATTCTTGTTTCTTAATTCTTATTATTCGGCTGAATAGCCTTTAGTAGTTAATTTTAGGGTAGTAAACTAGAAAAAGAAGAAAATTAAAATAAACTCTCTTACTCTACTCTACTCTACTCTACTCTACTCTACTCTACTCTACTCTACTCTACTCTACTCTACTCTACTCTACTCTACTCTACTCTACTCTACTCTACTCTACTCTACTCTACTCTACTCTACTCTACTCTACTCTACTCTACTCTACTCTACTCTACTCTACTCTACTCTACTCTACTCTACTCTACTCTACTTTACTCTTCAATACTCTATTCCATTCAGTTATCTGTATGAAGATTATGTTATCTGTGATTTACTGTTAAAAACTATTCGACTTTGCTAAAGACTTATATCGAATAAAACGAACTAAAATGTACAATCGAAATCGAGCAACAATGGATTTGTTTATATTTATCTAAGGATAAAAGCTTCAAATGAACCGAACATAAATACTGATTGGTAAATTAATTACGAGTGTAAATAGGTCACAAACAACATAACGAGTAAATTGTATGGGAAAATTTAACACGAAGTTACTTTAAAAAACTGTTCTAAAATGTAGCAGATAAATTAAAAAAGTATGTACAGATCAACAGGAATATCTGATGACTCAAAATTACATGCGCAGAAACCAAAGTACTACAATTAACTCGCCTTTTACATATTTTGTACAAAAACTATACAAAAAACTCTTTGAAACGTGACCAATTGTAAGACTTACCCATGGGAAATTCGGAATCGAAGGCATTTTCGCAACTGGACGGTGCACCATCGGACATACAGCCACTCGAACTGGAACTGCTTGCCCTGCTGTGCCGGCCCGTACTCATATCCGTCGACGTCGAATACGTTTCGCTTTGGGTCCCATAACCAGCCTCACTACTCTGATAACTGTGTAAATAAACAGAAATTTAATTGGGTTGCCGGTTACGAGCGTTACATCATTAACTGCTAAATTAATTTTTACTAGGATATTTCCATTAAAACATCGCTAAATACTCATTCTTTCAGCCACACATATCAAGATTATTAGATTAATTACTGTTAATTTACTACATAAATCGTTGATGGCTTACCCTTGAGTGGGAGTGGTCACGTTAGAAGGAAACGAATGCACGGCGATGGAACTAACGGAACAACTTCTGGCGTGGGCCAAAATATCCAGATCTTCCTGGGCCAGCTCGTCGATGAGGCTTCGATAGTTGTCCATGAGTCGCTTCCCGAATTTCGCTATCCTCATGCCGACCATCCACCTTTCCAGGGACGCCTGGTCCTCGGCGCAGAGGTATTTGATGTACTTGGTGGACTTGGGCTCCTGCAACCTGGGGTGCTTGATGGCGAAGCAGTAATCCGTCGGAGCTTTGTATTTTTTCTTCCAGCCCAGCCCGTAGTAGATTTGATTGTTGTCGAAGGTCGCCAGGCAGACGAGGTCTTTAGCCGATTTTACCTTATCCTTCGGGAAGTAGTACAAGCCTGAGGCTCTGAGGACGAAGTGGTGCCTCTTCCAGCCTTTCTTCGAGTCCGCTTTTAGGTAAAGCGGCCCCTCGACTTCCGGGGAGTTAGTCGTTGAGAAGTATTCTTCGAGCAACATGTTTCTGGAGTGCTCGTCGAAATCCTGGTTTTCTTTTTTGTCTGACGGCGATAATAGGAACTTTTCTGGTTGCAGGAATAACTTGATCTTGTCCGGCCTTTCTACGAAGTATATTTTGTTTTTCGAGTCTCGCGTCCACAACAGGAGATTGTCTACTAACAATTCGTGATCCTCATAAAAACGTTCTGAAATAAAAATACAATTATTAACCAAATTACATATTAGATGAGAGATTTGAAGGCGATAGTTACCCATGTATAAATCGGGCAAATGCTCCACTATGGCCCATTTGGGCTCCATCGGGACGTGGTTTTTATCTGCAAGCAATCTAGTAACGTAAGAGCATATCATCTTCTCGTCGACCAACAGGGACTTCGCGGAGCCATCGGTCGTGAAAACCTTCAAGAATAATTTCTGTATGTTGGCCTCTTTGATCTTCTCCATTGCCATTTTGATCTTCTCCGCCTTCACTCTGGACGCGTCGTCCTAAAAATATGATGTTTAATAATCGTTTTTTACATCGAGCATCATCTACTAACCTGTTGAATGCTCTGGAGCCGAAGCGTTTGCGGCTTGGCGCCGCTGCCGCCGCTGCTGGCCGAGGATTCGCTGGACAACATGGACACCGTGTCGCTGAAAGCTGAATCGTTATCGGGAGATTCGGTCCTGCCGGAATCGTTTTTGATGTTCAAGCTGTCGTCGGGATCCAACTTCATCCTGGGCACCTCGGACGTCGGCCTGCCGTCCGGCCGGTTTTTGTAGTGCGGTTCCGATTGTATCTCTGGCGGGAGAATCGAGAGTTTAGCATAAACTGCGCTGTGGGAGAAAGTTCGAGACTAACCTGATTGCCGTTTTTCCCTGGCTTGCCCGATTTCCCTCTCGCAGACGGTCTCCAAGGCGCAGAGCTCGCCGAGGATCGCGTCCAGGTCTACGTCCTGCGAATCCTCCAAATTGGCCATTGAAAATCTGTAACTATCTATCCTAGGGGCGGCTATTTCCGAATTGAGCGGCTTCAGATGCGTCGTGGAACCGGTCGGGTCTAAACCCTGGAAGAAAAACATTATTTTTATATTCTCCACTAAATAAAAACACAATAGAAGATTCAATAAGAAGCTAAGGTTGTCACTTGTAGTGACTGTGCTTCTACTAATAACTCAATTGAATAATCATTATAAAGTTATTTGCGTCATGCATGAAAATAAGCAAAAATATAAATATGTATTCATTATAAAATGACTTAAACCGCACTAAATAAAAGTCTTTAGAATCATAATAAAAATGGTTGAATTATATCAGTACGCAATATTATCATCGGATGATATAAATTTTCATACGACCCGCAGAGCGGGTACACGCGTGAATTAAAAACAATAGCGATTCGGTATTGTCACTATTGTCGTTTAATTACCTCCGAAAAACCCGTGATGCAACCTTTTGTTGCTGGTTAAAGTCAAACGCACATGGAAATGACAATACAAAGTGCAATGAACCAAAGATGTTGAACCATTACAAGAGACAAGATAATGAATTGTTGTTGATTTTTTCGTTAGACGTCGCCTGCGAGTCGGGCAGCCGAAGAGTTCGACTGGAAAAAGCGGCGCTTCGACATGAAAATATTTAGAATTTATTTGCTTATTACATTCCTGCTAAGGAAATATGTAAGTGCGTCTGCTGGCTGACGGATTTGACGAGGATTGATACTCGTCGGAAGATTTTATACGAAAACATCGACTTGCAAACTATTTAGAAATTGCATTAATGCAGCGAAGTGAAGAAAATACGGCAGTAAAGTTGATAGAATTTTAACTCGCGCATTTATATGTGTCAGCATGTTTTTGTGTGTTGAGAATGGGATCACCTCCCGGGGGACATTCTCATTGCCTCCGCCACGCCTGACTCGATTGAAAAAATACAATTTCGTTTACGCAGGATTGTCTATCTGTTATATTTGTACAAAGTGAAAGCTTACTAAAAATGCTAGTTCGAATACAATATATAATATTTTTGGCACGATTTTCAATAAAGGCGTTATCGTTCAAGTCTATTACTTAAAAGCAACATTTTTCATCGGATGGGCTGGAATGAACGTTCGCCAGCACAGAAGAGGAAATATATCGCTACCTAATTCAATAAAAGGATCTCTATATGCTGGAAATCGATTAACTTAAACTGTACTAACAAAAGATTTGTACTGAACGTAGCAGAGTTTTTATAAAAAAAATAGGATGACACAAAATTCAGTGACAACATCATAAAATCGCACTCGATCGTGCGAAAGTGAGTAATGAACTCGTCCTTGTCCCATATTCTAAATTCATATATTCGTGTTTATCATTATAATCATCGTTACCAGAGTTAGTGGGCGTGGGACATTAAATGAAATTAAATTCGTACGAAAATAATAATATAAATTAAACTAAAACTAGCGTCTGGTTGTTACCAAAAATTAAGTCATTTTAATTAACATAATTCATTCTTGTACTACTCGAATTTTGTTCTAAATTCTACCTGTTAGCGAGAGAATATTCACCTGCTTATTTTCAATTTACAAAAAAAAAACCGATTAGAAGAGACCGAAACTTTTCCGGAACCCAAAGTTCGCAAATTTATGAAAAACTTGCAGAGGAAATCAAGGGAGTTAACAAGAAAACTTTCTCCGAAATTCGATTAGGTATCGCACTTTTCTCAGTTTGTAAAAAGTTGGGAAATTTTTTGTTCAATTTCAAATCGGAAAGATAATTTACGAATAACTGTTCGAGAAATTCCTCTATCTGCTAAATAATTTTATTGAAATGAAAAACTTCACATTTAAATTCTATAAATTACTTTTGAATAAAAACTCACGTCAACTATTTATTTATCAAACACTTGGTAGACGATAATTCGAAAAATTTACAATAAATAAAATGTTCCGATATTAGCGGAATTTTAAATCGTGTATAATTTTCCGATAATCCAATTACAACACTTCCCATATAGGCTAGTCCATGTACTGCAATATTCATGTTTAATTAACTTAATACAATTTTAATTCAATTAGTTACTCCCAGTATATTAAAATCTATAACAATGAAATTTTATAAAACTTTAGATAACAACTAATGCACAATTATCTGTTTACGTAGAATAATTTTACCTTACTGCCGAATTTCCAACCTTTAAACATCCTTCCACATTTTACTTGTAGCTATAGCAATGATCCAGGAAACGATAAAAATATGGAAGAGGCGCCGGGTGATTCACCTCGCACATCATCATATCGACGAAAACAAGAGGAACGGAATTTTCCCGATTCGAAAATTTACCCTTCTGCACTCTAACCAAAATGGACAACACCGGCAAAAACGGCACATGGACGGAGAGCGTCGGCGACGAGACGCTTCCGCGTATGACGTCACACTGCCAGGGATCGTCCACAGACGCCCATTAGTCCTGTTACATTCGTTCGTGCAGTTTCGACGTTAATCGGATGCTGAGGGGGTGTTAAAAAACGGAATATTCAGGAGCTGCTTGGGCCGTTTCACGGATTAATTGTAGGTTAGAGGTCTCGGTGAATATCTTCGACAAGGGCAGGATTAAACTGTCGATACCCGAGCGTCTATCGGAATCGAATTTATATCCTCTGATCCCTACAGAATTTAGGTTCGGAATTTAGAAAATGTAATAAACGATTTAGTTTGGCGATTAGATTAATTTACCCTTGTTGTGAGCAATTTTCTTTGAGTGGTGAATATTTGCTCATAAATTTAAAAGAAATTTTATAAAAGGTCACCCGGTATATAATTAAATAAGAAAGCGTTTCTAAATCGATCTGTTATTTAATCACAGCATTCTAGTAACTAATTTTTCCGCTTAATTTGCATACAAACGCGATCAGACATTTTAATTTATTTCTCCTTCGAGTACAAATCGAATAATGCCGCAATTACTAATAATCGTAAATATTTACCTTGCGGCGGTATTAATCAATCTCTCGGATATCACATATAAAAGTGCCCGCTCGGTAGGGTTATGCTCGCTGACCTCTCTGACCCGAATCTGAGACGTTATCTCGGCAAAAAATCCCGTTTGCGCGTTTTACTGAAATTTATCAGATAAATCGGCGAGGCCTGCAAGACAATTACGAGGAAACGGAGTCACGATCAAAGAGGAAAAATTTGTAAGCGATAGAGGAGAGAATGAGATTGAAGGAGCGCTTAAAAAAACAGAAGTAATCAATTAGAATGCTTTCTGATATCGGTTCGGAAACCGCCGCGTAAGTATTTCATCGCCGGTAGGTATAACGAGCTTCACAAAAAAAGCTTTCTCGCTCCGCTGATTTGTTTTAAACAAAAGCGAATTTGGCCGGGAATATTATTTATAAAGTCCCGAAATGTCTATTCAAATCCGTCGCGTTGCATCACAAAACCGACTATTTTTATAATCCCCGTCGAACGCAGAAAGCCTCAAAATTGAAGGATTACACGCCGGATGTGCCGTATTCCCCTGAGATAAGTGGTACAAGCTTCCGGTTCTTCATTGTGTTAAAATGGTCATTGCCAGATGTTGTACTACAATCCGCTATTTTTATAACAGTTGCATAAAGATTTTCGTGCGAGCAATTTGACCGTCTGGAGACCGCGAGAGTTCATCAATGAAAGAGTTTATAACGAGAAGCAATTCTTTCGGTCGTTTATGATACAATCTGGTAAATTTAATCGGGCACCAATTTCTCTCCATTAACTCACGATAACGCGATTAAAATTAATAGATTACCACACGAAAGCGTTAACCCTGACAATGAATTTCTTGGGCGCCCAGGAATTCGAGCCAAACGCCAGCAACGAACGGTTCTAATCTTAGGTTTATCAATGCCCGCTAGTTATTCGTGCTCGTTAAATACAATTGTTCAAAAAGAGCACAATGGTCATCTGAACGGTCCCAAAAAAAATATCATTAGTGAAAGTAGCCACAACTCGAATTTTTCAAATACCTTTCTAACGACTTGCAATTAATCCACAGGCAACTATAATCCCACAGATGTCACTGATTGGCTAAATGATTGACCGACTCTATCAAAACAAACGCTTTCAAACCCTCCCTTAAAATAACACGAATATACATTTATAGCAAATCACTACCTATAGTAGTACTTTAACACACCTAAACAACCGGCAGATGATAAATCGCTACAGACAAAACCTACAAAAGCAAAACTTCCGTTCGTCGATGCAATTTTTCATTGTCGCACGTACTCGTTTGCCACCATTACGTTTTCATTCCGGCCATTCAATAATTTTAAATAACTATTATTACGATAATGGCACCAAAGGATCCTGATCGGCAGAGCCGTACGCCCACCATTTAAGCCCAGCAAAGGTCACAAATTAGACACAAAGGCACCAGACCATACAATCGTGTCGATTGAACCAATACGTGTTCTTGGCATTAGGGCAACGTACCATGACAATATATCAGAGACATATGGACCTCGCGTAGCCGGTGTTCATTAAAAACGTTTTCGAATTGTATACACAATAGGAATGGGTGGTTGATGAGCTTTGAAGTGTTGCTTTAAGATTTCCCTAAGCTCTGTTACGATATAAAAAATTTAAGTAAATACGAGCAACAAACTGTAGCAGAGTCATCTCTAATCAAGCAGACGGATTAATTTGTAGCGGAATCAAACCCCTCCGCAAATCAATTAGGTTTTGGGTAATCGATCCTATTTTTATGTAACAGTAGCTTTCTAGCAGTGCTTAAGGGCGCATTCTATCGACGGCGATGACGCATCCTTCTTTTTTCGGTCCAATGTAATCAAGATGAATCATCGGTGTCGCGTCGGGGCGCCTCCAGACGCCCGGAAATGCACTATCGTGCAGGGGTGAATAATGGACGAAAACAGATGGGAATGACTGGGTTGGTTTGAATTTCGGATGTATTTTTTCGATGTTATTCACCATTACGACCCTCTATGAGGAAAGGTGAGATATATAAAATATCATACACGAAATTGGTCGAGCGTGATGAAAAATTAGCCCTTTGGGCGAGAGTCTTTGATGTTTTC